GCATCCTGGATCAGCCACTCCAGAACCCGGGCGGGGGGGGGGGGGATCTCCATTCACAAGCACCAAAAGTGTTAAATGCATTGGTTATCTATTAAGGACAGGAACTTCGAACAAGAGCCAGTACACGAAAAATGCACAGAATCATAGAATAGGAGAGTTGCAAGGGGTCAAAGGGTCATCGGGTCTAACGCTCCGCTCAGTGCAGGACTCCAGGTTAAACAAACCATCCCTCTCAGATGGTTAACCAGTTGCATCTTGAACACTTCCAGTGTGGGAGAGCCCACGGCCTCCCTAGGTAATTGGTTTCATTGTCGTATTGCTGTAACAGACAGGAAGAACTGGGCACAGTACTCCGGATGAGGTTTAACCAATGCTGAGTAAAGAGGAACTAGTACTTCCATGATTTGGAAGTGATGCTTCTATTAATGCAGCCTAAAACAGAATGTGCCCTTTTTGCAGCTACCTCATACTGTTGACTCATATTCAGCTTGTGCTCCAGGAGCCTTCTCACTTGCAGTCTTGTTGAGCCAAGTATTCTCCATCTTGTAACGATGCATTTGGTTTCTTTTTCCTAGGGGCAGAAAATTTGCCCCTACTGAATTTCATCCTGCTGTTTTCAGCTCAGCACTCCATCCTATCAAGATCACTCGAATCTTATTCCTGTCTTTCAGGGTATTAGCTATCTCACCCAGTTTTGTGTCAAAGTCAACATCAGTCTAGAACCCCATTTGTTCTTATCCCCTTAAGGATAAGGGCAGGGGAACTTTTCGCAGCTTAAAGGCCAGATTCAGTCTGGCAAAGGGTTTGGAGGCCACATTTCATCTTTCACCATGGCAAAAGGCGGGGGGGGGGGAGATAGATTCTTAATACCAATTAAGAATGTGACATTTGATTCTTAACACCAATTTGAAGTCTACTTAGAAATAGGTAGATCAAACTGAGTACATTTGCTCAGAAGTTAGCACAACAAACCTCTCTGCATGTCTACTCAGAAATAAGCACAAATGAATCACTCAGAGAACTTTAAAGAGCATCCCAAACCTCAACTCTCGGCATGTCTACTCAGAAGCAAGCAAGCCTGAATCATTCAGCAGCTTCCTTCCTGGGCGACACTCCCTCTGCCCAGCAAGAAAAGCTTCTTACCTTTGAGTAGGAACTGAATACCAAAAAGGGAGCTTTTCCTGTAATTCTTCTCAAGGGCTTTTCCCTACCAGGAAAGAAACTGGAGGGCTGCATGGGGAATCGGCAGCACCCCTGGTCTATGTACTGGAGGTTCCCATGCCAGTTTTAGGATAGCTTGCTATTAATCAAAAGTTTGAAAAAAGACATTAAGGCGTCCAGCTCTGGCTGGAGTCCATCCTAATCCATCCGGGTCCTTTCCAGTTTACTCTCCTCCCCAGCAGCAGGTCATTTCTCTTTCTAGCCAGTTTGAAAGAGCTTGAGGGGACCTCAGTTTTGTTTCTCAGTCCATCCAGGGCTCAAACAGTCCTAGGAAGGCGTACGTACCTTTTGGTCCTCATTGCAGCCTTTGACGATTCGCCTCAGGCTGGTTTTCCAGCGGCCCTCACAGCCCTGGCAGGTAGCCCACCGGCCAAACACCCCAATCAGCATGAGCCCGACAGAGAAAAGCCTCTGTAAATCCCCTTTCGCCACACCTGAGCTCCCCATTCTTTCTTCCTGTTCTCACTTGTCCCTCTATTGGCTCTCCTTTCTACCCCTTGCACTGCCCATTCCTATTTTATGTCAAGTCTCAGACACAAATGGTAACCTTTCCTATTGTGCTCCTATTGGTTTTCCTCAATAAAAGAGTGGGCAACTGCAGGGCCAAATCTTGCCCTCCCGGGGGTTATACCTGGTGCTCTGGTAATCCACATACGCCATACTCCTTCCCCTGCCCCACCCTCGTTCCCCTGATCACGAGTTGCCCGGTGTTTTCCCAGACGTCCGTGCAGTTCTGCCCTCATTCCAAAAAGTCTGAAATTACTTTCCTAACACTTAGCAACAGTAAGAACTTCAAGCTGAAAGCTAATTGTCCCACCTACCAATGCCATGCGGTTCCTATGCGCTTCCCAAAATTGAATATGGCCCTTGGGATGACAGAGACGCCCTCCCCAGATCCCTAAGTACTCATGTATTGCCCAGAGAGCTTCAGCTATGGGTAAATAATAATAATAGTAATAATATGGTCCACTTTATCTAGCATCTCTAAAAGCATTTATCTGGCCTAGTGCAGCAGCTGTTAGTCTGAACTTGTGTGTGTTTGTCCACCTAACTCTTCCATGCTGTATGAAAGTCACACTTTAATTAAGCTCTCATATTCTGCAATAAGCATATATTCTTTTGACTTCAGCTTTGCCCTCCATTTAATGCGCTAATTCCTCTTAGTATAAATTGGAACTTCTCCATGATACATCTTGACTCTGTGCCAAACAACTAAAACCGCCTTTCCCAACCAGGTGCTCTCCAAATGCGCTGACTTTCGATTCCCAGCAAAACGTCACCCAACGGATAATGGCAGTTGCAGTCCAACACTTTGGAAGACATTCTGGTGAAGAAAGTCTGATCTAAGGTTTTTTGTTTCAATCCAGTACATGTGCACACTTGTAATCGAGAACATGCAAAAACAGGATTTTGTTTTTTGTTTTTTTTAACTTGGCTTTACTAGGCCTGGCATTGCAACACAACAATTGGTGCAGGGTTTATGTCCCTTTCCTTGCAGATAAAGGGAAATGCTGGAAGCAGGGGTTACGCAAAGATGAAACATTCCACTTCTAGACTATGTTCAGAAAATACCTGAAGCATGTTTTCTTGAACCTGATGTACACTGAACCCTGCAAAGGTGACACCAACACAAACTCCAACACAACGCAGTCTAGTCTACAGAAAGCGACAGGCCTTCCTCCAACCGCAGTGCTCTAAAGTCACAAGACTCCAGCACAAAGATGTGCACAATTACCACCAAGCCAACTTCTGAGCATCAATTGCTTTCCAAAATACAATCTCTTATTCTCTCCCTCAAGTAACGAGTTCCCAAGCTGGAGAAAACAGGTGAACAGTACTTATTTGCTTCTGAGTTACACAGATCAAGTTTCACAGCTCTCCACCTGTTACGCTGCTCCTTTTCAGCCTTCAAATTCATACATTTGCTTCAGGGACCCATAGAAAGAGATTCATTCTTCTCTTCTGTCATAACATCACCCCCAGCCCAGAGACCAATTTGTCATGACAAGGGTCACAGGAGAGCTCCAAAAGCTCCTCATCTGCATTCCCCACAGGTGTCTTCGTCCCCCATCCCATGCCCACACCACTGAGGATGAGATGCATGAGGAATTAGTCTTCCCAGCACCTCTGTCCTGCCAACCCAGCAAAGAGAGGTGTGTGCATGTGCACGCATCTGTGTGCAGGCACGCACATCTGTGACTTGTGTTGTGGGCCGATCTATCAGGCCCGCCCAGATGTGCAACCCCTGGAAGCCTGCATGGCAGCCAACACCAGTCTCAATTCCAAAGGCACTGAGCATGGGAGCCCCACTTTCTATCCCTGTCCTCAAGAAGGCTCCAGAAGTACAAGCTCAGGAAAAGGGTCCGGCCAATGACCTCAGGAAAGCAGCCCCTACAAAGATCCTAGGACTGGCTCCCTTGCACCCAGAGCCAGCTGCCTGCCACCCTTGGACTCTGCTTGCACGCCACAGCCGCTCCTGCAGTTTCAGTGTGAGGTTGCTCAAAGAAAGCCAAGCCCCTTTCAGAGGCCAGGTCTCTCAGCACAGAGCAGCCCTCCCCTACCTGGTGGCCTTCAGAGGCATCTGGACTGCAGCTTCCAGAACTTCCATCCAGCAGGGCCACCGAGTGAGAATTCTGGGTGTTGCACTCCTACCGTGCCTGCAAGCCACAGGGCTGGGGAAGGCTGGCACAGAGGAAAAGCAGACCAGTCTAAATGCATGCGCCTTCTCACTCAAGGCTTTGTCTCAATCCTCTCCTGGCTGATGCTTCAGTCCTATCGGGAGCATGTGCTGCAGCTGATATTTTCCTTCCTTGCCTACCTGAGAAACCTGACCTAACCTGACCAAAGCTCAAGGTCTGACTGACAGCAGACCCCTGCAACCAGGGCTGCAGGATGGGGCACTGGCAGAACCCACAAACTGAAATGGTATGAGATGCTGCGCCGTGTGGTGATGAGAACAGGGAAAGTAGTTTAGAGATTTATATTCTGCTCTTTAAGAAGCTGTGTAACTTCTGTACTTGTTCACCTGGCCTGTAGAGCAGCTACACAGGTAGAGGCTTTTGGTCATTTTCATGCAGAAGGGTCCACGCTCAATTCCAGGCATTTCCATGTAGGACTAGAAAAAATCCTGCCTGAAACCTAGAAGTTGCTGCCAGTCAGTGTTGACAACAATGGGTGACACAGACCAAGGACATACAGCAGTTTCCTACATTTCTACAGTGCTCATTCTCAACACACCACAAAAAAAGGGGAACAGCAAGTCCTTTTTATGAAAAAGGCCCGTTTCTGTTTTCCTTCAGTCAAAATTGTTGTCAGGCCCCAAACTTCGTAGGTATATCTATCCTGGGGTTGAGCCACATCTCCCCACATGCATCTCCTACCCCAAATTTACCCCGAGTTAGTAAAAAGGCACATCATGTAACAGAAACTAAACCTCTGACATGCTGCATTTGGGGAGAATAAATAGGGTGGCTGAGGCCAGAGTGGTGGCTGGTCTCAGGAATGCCGGGTGGGGGCAAGAAAGACACAGGCATCACCTTGCATGGAACATGGGATCTGCCCAGCTGTGCTACCTGCCCCCAAGAGAAAGCGTAATCATTAAACCAGAGTAACACCCAGCGGCAAAGGCAAGCTCTGCTTTTGGTCATTTCACTTGAGTCATTATGTACCCAATGCTCCAAAGTGATGGAAAGCTTAAGAACTCACACTGTACATGTGCCTGCACTTCCACGTACACACACACACACACACACAATACAACTGGGAAGAGAGAGCCTTACCCATGGTTGTATCCTCATCAGGTCTGTATCCCACTGACTGTGCGTGTTTGTGCCTTGACAACCTTCAGTTGCAATGGATACCCCTAAAACAGAAAGAATGGAAAGAATTATGAGACTTGTGGCTCGCCACAGCTCAGAGATAAGTACAAGTTCTGAGTATATCAGATCAAACATAGCCACAACTTCATACAGCTGGAAACTGTAGACCATTCTGTTCCTGTTTTCCCTGGACTCCTACTCCTTCACATCACTTTAAAAGGAGAGAAACAAATACTACTATGGTTTAGATTAATTTAAACATCACACCGAAACATCATTACATAAAACCCACTGACTTGCAGATCAATCAGAAATCATGGTTTGTATGAATTGAGCTCATGCTGTCTTGCTGAACTAGAAAGCCATGTCTGACCTGAAATAGAAAATTATTGAAGGAACAGGCTATTTTTTCAGCTGTTGGCTGAATCTTTTCAAGAAGTGCTAGTGAAGTGCCATTCCTGTATGCCGAAACAAATGACACATTACACCACAAGCGTTATTGTCAAAACTCCTTGGGGTCAAATTCATTTTTGGATACACTTAAGCAGCTGCACCCCAGAGGGAGCACCAAAGGCGAAAGAAAGAAAGAAAAAAACAGGACTGAAAATGCCGGAATATTCCAGCTTAAAGCACTCAATGAAGTAACTAAGCTTTAGCAGAGATATTTCAGCCTTTCCGAATTGGGAAGAAACTGTGCAAAAGCCAAGAAGCAACCAAGTCATGGCTGATCACAGGAAAAGGGTGTGACATTCTCAGGAACCCAATGGCTAGAACAGGACTTTAGACATGCTGGATTTAACCCACGGGCTTAAGATTTAACACCTTGAATTACATACAATTACAGTTAACGGCTTCTGAACCTGGTATGGATGAAAATAGGAAAGTATTGTTCAAGGAACAGTCCCTGGTTGGGTTGCGTCTGTTGAGAAGAGCAGATCCAAGTGCTGGTGACTGGAACCAAAAATGCTGGCACATATAAATGCCTGTTTATTAAGATGAATTACGAATCATCTGAACTAGCCCACAGTTTGGGTAAATTCTCCCAAACAAACGAAATCAGATTCTGCATCTTTCCTTTCTGAACTTTTGCCACAGTGAAAATGATAAAATGTCCACAAATGCCTATGACAACAGTAGATAAAACAGATGCAATCTAAAAATAATGTCACAAACACGCAAGGCATCTTTGGACTCCAGTGGTGGCAAGAACAAGGTTATTTATTCAAATTTATTTTGAGGGATTTGAGCAGGAGGAAGAGAGATGGTTCAAGCCAATAATTTGAAGTGGACATCTGAGGCTAAACAAACTGTTCCTTTCTCTTGTTCTGACTTCCTATTTGAGAAACCACGCGGCTCCATTTGAGAACAGACATTTTGCCGAATTGCTGCACATTCTTTAAGGAAGAGGTAAAATGAGGCAAATGAAGGCTCCAAGTTCACAAATCTAAATTGGGGCAATGACTTAGAGGACTCAGTCCAGATCCCAGTGACATCATATGAAAAATCCCCACAATACAAACAGAATTAGAAACAGAAAGACACAGGCTTCAACAGAAAAGTTGCAGCGCAGAGTGCTTCTCCGCAGGGTTGCAAACCAAGAGACATGTCTTCGTTCAGGAGGCGCCACTCCATCCTACGCACCACATTTTCCATTTTTTCTCCCTGCAACTTTCAGCCCACATACTATGCTCATTGGATGTGATCAGTTCCCATCAGATTGTCAAGGGTAGGCAAGGGGGTTCCCTGCCTTTTCCTCCTCTAGACATGTTTCTACTTCTACAAACTTGAGGTGTGCCCACCTTCCAGCAAAGAAAATATCCCATGTTTATCAATATCTGTATTACATCTTGTTTGATAAAGCAGATTCATAATGACCCTTTGCTAAGAAATGTTCTTCAGCTTTTGCATTTTCTCACTCAAATGTATATTTTTATTCATTTTTTCATCTACGCTCTCTTCCAAATCTTAGATAGCCTCTCTCTAAGAAGTGTCAAGGTACCCAAAACATGCCACTATCTCAGAACTGAGTTTCAGTGGCTGTTCACATACTAACTTTACATTTCAAAGCCAGTTGGGGATTGTGCTCCAGTCCTACTTAGGGTATTCTCTCTGAAATCAATGGGGCTTAAGTTAGCCATTGCTAGTTTACATCCCATTGCTCTCAGTGGGTCTATTCCAAATATATCTAAATCTGTATCCAATGCATATACAAATACCCTGATCTAATCACCAGGTAGCCCATATGGTATGGGATCTGTGCACAGAGAATACATGTTCTTCAATGAATAAATGTGCAATCGGTAGGTGGAACTAGATGCCACCCGGCTAGCGGAAGCCTATCTGCACAGGCCAACACGGAGCCAAGTCCCTACTCAACAGTTGCTCTTGCACCATTTTCAGGCATACTAATGGGGCCCCTTTTGCATCTGCACAGGCAATATGGAGGCACCAGGTCTGGCTTTTGCCCGTGCATTTCTGGGTGTAGCAGAAGGAGCTGCTGGGCTAGATTCCTTGTGCCACCGCCCCGTGTGGGTGACCAACCAGGACGCAGATGAGAGACTTCCCTGGTCTATGATGCAGGTTGAGCTCCAACGCCAGTCCACCCACCTGAGCCTCCCGCTTGCTTCCCCCAACCTGAAAAGCTCATCCAGGTCTCTAGGTAAGAGTGGGAGTAAGCAAGATCAGTCCCCACTGTATCTGCTTGGCCGAAACACCTAATTCTTAATTTCTCACTCTGTCGCTGCATGGATGCGAACAAGCCCTTGTGGAACCCTATTGTCTTCAGAGGGAACAGAGACGCCAGTGGCTTAATGGCTCTGTGCATTTCCACTAACATGAGAGCACTTTTCCCAAGGACAGTAATCAAGGGGATGGATTTGCCGGTATCTACATACCGTCTGACTCACGCTAATGCCCCCCAGTGTCAGTGCAACTGTGTGAATGTCTCTGGAAAAGCCACAACTGTTCCCCTCCGGCCCTAAATTTGTTTATGAAAAACACCAACACAACCCAATTTGATCGGTTTTTAAACTGCTATTTTTGAATGCAGGTCAGTCTACAAAAGTCACCCCAATTCAGCATTATGAAAAATGGAGCTTTCCTTTGTTTGCTGAGTGGCTCTGAAGCAACATGCCAAGCTTGGAGAATTTAACTAGCAAAATAAAAAAGAACTGAACGGAAAAAAACCCCCCTCTTTTCTTTAAAAAGATTCCACCACACTAACTTTCAGCAAGTTTCCGGGAGCACTGCCAGCCAAAGCATAGGAGGTTGTGTGTGTGTGTTGTTTTTAAAAATGTACTACGGAACTGTTCAAAAATATTATTGTCAGTGTTATTTTCTAAAGATCTTGGGGCCAGCAGGGCACACTACTAGCATAAGCAATCCCCAAACGATGAGAAATTGTTTTAAATACGTCTCTGCTTATGCCTTGGAATAACAATCGGTGTGTTTGTTTAATAAAGATTGATGATGATGATGATGATGATGATGACTATCATTTATTATTATCCACAACAATAAAGCACGGCAGTTTATTTACAGGCAAATTCCTAAATATAGATTAGGATTAGAGACTTAAAATAGAACACCCTTCACCATTATGCCACTATATAAATTTTCAGTGCATCACATCGAAATATCTCTGTACAGTTCCAGTTTCTTCTGAGATTGCAGAGCTGGAAAAGGTGCAGAAAGCTAAAATGGCAAAGAAGGTATTCCAAAGGAGAGACCATGTGGCTGGACTGTGACCTGGAAGATCCAGGTTCTAGTTGCCACCCAGCTGTGCTCACTGGGCAACTCTGGCCCAGTCACGGACTCTCAACCTCACCCACCTCACAGGGTTGTTTTTGTGAGGATAAAATGGAGAAGAGGAGGACTATGATTGCCACCGGAGGTTCCTTGCAAGGGCAGCCTTAAAAGGCACAACAACAACAACGACATAATACTCAGCTGTGGCCTGGATATATACATGGGCATCCACTGATCTCAGATGGCATGGGAAATGCAGTTTTCCAGGCTGAGAGCCAGCGTGGCGTAGTGGTTAAGAGCGTGGGACTGGGACTCAAGACAACCTGGGTTCGAGTCCCCGCTCAGCCATGGAGCCAACTGGGTGACTCTGGGCCAATCACAGACTCTCAGCCCAACCTACCTCACAGGGTTGTTGTTGTGGGGATAAGATGGAGGAGGAGAAGGATGTAAGCTGCCTTGAGCCCTTTGGGGAAAAAGGCAGGATATAAATTGAATGAATGAATGAGGCTTAGAAAAAAGACAACTAAGAGGAGGGGGGGGAGCACCAAGGTCTATGGGATCATCCACAGGTGAAGAGCATACAAGCCTTCATTTGCTCTTCCACGGCTTGTCTGCAGGCCAGATCGCACCAGCATTCGGCCACGTGCTCAAACGAGGAGTCCCACAAGGCTGGGGGGGCCACTGCAGGTGAAACCAGCCACCTCTTTTTCGGTCAGCTGTTCTGATGGCCCAGAAGAGCACAGGGCCTCATGCTGCCATTCTTATCCCCAGTGCTTCTGGGACCCGGCTGCAATGTACACGTGCCAACACCAGCAGCATTCGGCAGTAGAAGATGGCAGAGAGAGCAGGTGAGACAATCCTCCTCATTAGGTGGGGCTGAAAGAGTGGGGTGCCTGCAACATCCATATACGCCCACCCGCCCGCCCCTCGAGATCTGTGGGAGAGGCCCTTCTCCGGGAACCCTCCGTGAAAGAAATCAGGAGGGTGGGTTCTCGGAGGAGGGCCTTCTCTGCGGTGGCGCCCAATCTATGGAATGTGCTCCCCAGAGAGGTCCGCCTGGCGCCATCGTCATTTGTTTTTCGGCGCCAGGCGAAGACCTTTTTATTTAAACGTCCTTTTAATTGTTAATATTATTTGCTTATTTTATCTGGCCAGGGCGACTTATTTTATATTGTTAATTTGTTTTATATTTTTAATGTATTATATTTTAATTTATGTTGTGAGCCGCCCCGAGGCTTTGGCGAATGGGGCGGCATAGAAATGTTTTAAACAAACAAACAAACAAACATGTTGCCTT